TCTCAGATTCTTTTTACAATGAGTTTGCAAAAAAGCATGTTTAGCTGTATCATCCTACACAGCTTCAAAATCTATTTCACACTGAGGGTGCAGGCCAATAAAATTCTGAAGAGGATTCTAAACCAGTCTTAAAATGGCTAATACCATCAGATTGAAGAGGATAAAAGGAGCTGTGAATCTGAAACGTCTACTTATTGTTTTTATCTGACATTGTCTCAGTGGTACCAAGAGTTCCACCAATCCATCAGAGCTAATTTTCCCTTTTGATTTTTGCCCATTAGATCACTTTTGGCTTACAGGGTTTTTTTGTTTTGTTGAGCATGATCAGCCATGATGTCCACCTGAGGCCAGTTTCTTTGAAACAAGCCATGGTAACTGCTTTTGCTCAATGTATAAATACATTCGTAGTTTACCTGTGCATTTATTAGCTAGAAGTTAATTCAAACTGTAAATGTGCCCTTCACTTAAATCACTTTGCTAAATTGTGTGTACCTACCTTTTTGAAGAGACAAACTAGAGGAGGCAGTCTCAGGAGCTTATTCCGTTAAAACAACATTGTGTGTTTAGTTTCAAGAAACTTAATTCCTTTTTTTTAAACCATATCAGTGCAAAAAGAACTTAGTGCGATTACTCAGTGTTTGTGATTATTATTTTTTTTTTAGAAGGCATGTATTGCATTATATGGCTTGTACTGAATAATGCTGAAACAGGATTGTATGGTTGCTGTCGTAAGATGCACAGAATCCTGAATATAATATTGAGCATTGTAAAGTCTTTAGTTTAACTTTAATTCTTAAGATACTGTCTAGTTTTAGTGTCCTATACACTGAGGACAGACCAGTGTCTGGAGGGTGTTGGGTAGGTTGAGGAGGCTGAGGTAGGAGAAGAGTGTCTGTGGCCACCGAGGCAGAGGTGAGTAGGGACTCTTGCCTAGGGTTCTGAGTAACCCTACTTCACCACCCGTGTTGGGACTGATTACCTACACACTGCCTTCTCTAGTTGCTGCTAATTGACCATTACTTCAGTCTGGAGCGAGCGAGCGAGCAGCAGGGAGATAGTAAACCTCAAGATAGAGGTAGAGGGAAATGGGTATAAAGTAGGCTGTTGATTAATTGCAGTTAACTCTCTTGATTAATTAAAAAAAATGTAATAGCGATTAAACAAAATTACTGTATATACTCGATCATAAGCCGGTTCGTTTATAAGCCGATCCTCCCCCTACCCCCAAAGATGGATAAGTAAAAAATGGAAATTTTTTATAACACATTCATAAGCCGACACTATAATTCAGGGGTCAGCAAATTTTGGCTTCCAGGCCATCAGGATAAGCTGTTGGCGGGCCGAGATGGTTTGTTTACCTCGAGCGTCCGCAGGCACGGAGGTAAACCTAAGTAGACAAAGGTGTTCCGGCGCACCAGCTGCTTACCCTGACAGGCTAGGACAGCAACTGGTGGGGAAATTTTTTTGGGGAGAAGCTGGGAGTCAGGGGAGTAACCCCTGTGACCACCCCCCACATGACCCTTCCCCTAGCCCGGGACCTCCACACTCTCCCCATACCATCTCTTCCCCCCCTTATCTGGGGAGGGCCAGGGGAGGATGTCTCTGGCCTGGCTGGAGCTGCTCTGGCAGGCTGGGCAGCGCAGCCACAGCCTGTTCTGGTGGGCCAGACTGGACGGCGCGGCGGCAGCCTGCTCTGGGGGGCGTGGGGCTGAGCGGCGTGGCTGCAGCCTGCCAGCCCTGGAGCTGCAGCTGCTTCGGAGGCTGGGAGAGAGCAACGTGGCCAGAAGCGGAGAGACTCTGGCCCTGCCTCTTCCCTTCTGGCTCTGCTGCCTCTCCTTGCTCCCTCTGTTGAGGGGAGGGGCTGTGTCCCACCTCTCCCTCTCTATACCTGTTCATAAGCCGACCCCCTTCTCTGGTGCTTCCCTTTTTTACTAAAAAAAAATTCGGCTTATGAACGAGTATATTGCAATTCATTGCAGTTTTAATCGCACTGTTAACCAACAGAATACCAATTGAAATGCATTAAATAT